CGCCGGCGCGCCCAGCCAGCATGGGCAAGGCGCGGCGCTTTCCACCTGACTGGGAGGACGGGCTGGGCGACCGGGAGGACCGGCTGGGCGATTGGGAGGACGGGCTGGGCGACCAGTTAGGTCTTGGATAAAAGCGATTGGGAGGACGGGCTGGGCGATCGGGAGGACGGGCTGGGCGTCCGGGAGGACGGGCTGGGCGATCGGGAGGATGGGGTGGGCGACTGGGAGGATGGGATGGGCGACCAGGAGGACGGGGTGGGCGACCATGAGAGGGGGCTGGGCGATCGGGAGAGGGGGCGGAGGTGGAGACGCCTCCCCTTGCCCGTTGCCACCGAGAAGCCGCCGAACACCTCCAAGTACGGTAGCGACGTGCGCCTCAGCCTGAGCATCCTCCGGGCGGCACGGAGGACGGGCTGGGCGACTGGGAGGACGGGCTGGGCGAACGGGAGGATGGGCTGGGCGGCCGGGAGGATGGGCTGGGCGACCGGGAGGACACGCTGGGAGGACGGGGTGGGCGTCCGGGAGAGGGGGCGGAGGTAGAGACGGGCAGTCGCCGGCGCGCCCAGCCAGCATGGGCAAGGCGCGGCGCTTTCCTCCCGACCGGGAGGATGGGCTGGGCGACCGGGAGGACGGGCTGGGAGGACAGGAGGACGGGCTGGGCGACCCGTTAGGGCTTAGATAAAAGCGCTGGGAGGACGGGCTGGGTGACCAGTTAGGGCTTGGATAAAAGCGACCGGGAGGACGGGCTGGTCTTGAGCTGGGAGGACGGGCTGGTCTTGAGGCTGGGAGGACGAGCAAGGGTAGGCGTCACCACCGTCGGGGGATCCAGCCAGTCCCGCAGAGAAGCTCGGCGCGCTAGGGAAGGCGCCCGGGAGGACGGGCTGGGACCGGGAGGACGGGCTGGGCGACTGGGAGGATGGGCTGGGAGGACGGGCTGGGCGATCGGGAGAGGGGGCGGAGGAGGAGATAGGGGCAGCCGCCGGCGCGCCCAGCCAGCATGGGCAAGGCGCGGCGCTTTCCTGCCGACTGGGCGGACGGGCTGGGCGGACGGGAGGATGGGCTGGGCGACTGGGAGGACGGGCTGGGCGACCAGTTAGGTCTTGGATAAAAGCGACTGGGAGGACGGGGTGGGCGACCGGGAGAGGGGGCTGGGCGACCGAGAGAGGGAGCGGAGGTGGAGACGCCTCCCGTTGCCCGTTGCCGCCGAGAAGCCGCCGGACACCTCCAAGTACGGCAGCGACGTGCGCCTCAGCCTGAGCATCCTCCAGGCGGCCCCTTCCTCGGGGCCAGAGGCACAGAGGACGGGCTGGGTGACTGGGAGGACGGGCTGGGCGACTGGGAGGACGGGCTGGACGACCGGGAGGACGGGCTGGGAGGACGGGCTGGCTGACCGGGAGGACGCGCTGGGAGCATGGGCTGGTCTTGAGCTGGTCTTGAGCTGGGAGGACGGGCTGGTCTTGGGCTGGTCTTGAGGCTGGGAGGACGAGCTGGGCAACCGAGAGGACGCGCTGGGAGGACGTGCTGGGCGTCCGGGAGAGGGGGCGGAGGTGGAGACAGGGGCAGCCGCCAGTGCGCCCAGCCAGCATGGGCAAGGTGCGGCGCTTTCCTCCCAACTGGGAGGGCGGGAGGAAGGGTTTTCCTGGGCTGCGGCATCCCCGTTTGGCACCGAGCAGAAGGAGATGGAGAGGAAGGTGCTGAGGAACGGCCTGGCAGCCAAGAGGCTTGACTCGGACGGGCTGGGCGACGAGAAGGATGGGCTGGGCGTCCGGGAGGACGGGCTGGGCGACCGAGAGAGGGGGTGGAGGTGGAGACAGGGGCGGAGGTGGAAGCAGGGGCAGCCGCCGGCAGGCCCGGCCAGTATGCGGCAGCCCCCTTCCTCGGGGCTAGAGGCAGGGAGGACGAGCTGGGCGAGCGGGAGGACGGGCTGGGCGAGCGGGAGGACGGGCTAGGAGGACGGGCTGGGCGACTGGGAGGATGGGATGGGCGTCCGGGAGAGGGGGAGGAGGTGGAGGCAGGGGCAGCCGTTGGCGCTCCCGGCCAGCCCCAGGTAGGAAGGGCTGCAGGGGGGGGCGTGGGGAGTGTGGGGCCGCTCCTGGGGGCTGTGCCGGAGAAGGGTGGCATAGGAGGGGAGGGGGGCACAGGGACCGCCGGCCAACTGCCTCCGACTGTCGTGGTATGCTGGTGGGTGGGCGCTCTGCACAGGGCTGCCCATGGACGGACGGGGGATGGGGAAGACCCTCCAGTAACTGGAGGGGAAGGCGGCCAGGTCCGGCCTCTGGACACAATAGGGGGAGAGCACCGGGGAGCAGGTGGGGTTCGGCGGGAGCGGCTGTTCTTCCCCCCCTCTCAGAGGGTTGCCCTCAGAGTCAAGCCTCTTGGCTATCTCCTTCTGTTTGGTTCCAAAGCGGTCCTCGGCGTCGGAGAGGTACCGCTGGATCATCTCCTCCTGGTACTGGTGCCGGTTGCTGGTCTTGAGCTGCCCGGCTAATATGAACTTGCGCTCCCCTTGCATGGCCGCCCGGAGGATGCTCAGGGTAAGTTGTACGTCGGAGGCGTCCGGCGGCTTCTCGGCGGGGGGCGCCTTCCCTAGCGTGCCGAGCTTCTCTGCGGGACTGGCTGGATCCCCCGCCTCCCCTTGCCCGTTGCCTGCGCCGCTGCTCCCCCGGGCGCCCCGGCTGTGCATCAGCCCCATGTTTTTGAGCTTGCTGCCCAGCGTCTTGCCGAAGCTGCCCAGCTTGTTGGCCACCGAGTAGGCCCTCTTCTTGTCCTTGTCTCGGTCCCGCTCCTTCTTCGGCTTCTCCTTGCTGCCGTTGCTGGCAGAGCTGCTGCACACAGACTCCTTGTCCGAGTCGCCGGCCGAGCGGGCTTCGTCTCCAGCAGTTGGGGATTCCGGCTGCGCCAGGGGCGCCTGGAGAGGGAAGGAGAACGAGGCACCCCGTGACCCTCCAGGCTACGGCAACGTTCGGAGGGGTGGGGTGGGGTGGATCCATCCAGCGGAAAAAGGCCAGGATGCCCGGGGCGACAACACAGCTTTTGAGGAATCGCCTGACAGTGGGAAGCCCTGCCCCCTGCCCGGAGACTCATGGGGGGGGACAGCCGGTGGGGTGGACAGACTGGCCAGTGAGGACCCTGAGTTCAAATCCCCACTTCTGCTCTGGAAGCTCGCTGGGTGGCCTACTCACAGGGTTGCTGTAAGAGAACGGAGGAGGGGAGACCAGAGTTCTAAAGCCGCTCTGAATCCTAGTGGGAGTGTAAATAAATAAACGAATGCAAATGCAATGCAGGGAAGGCAGGCCGTGTCAGGCCAGGATACAGGGACCCCTGGGTCCAAGCCCTCCGTCCACCCTGACTCCCAGTGGGTCCCCTGGGCCCATTAGTGCTAGTAGTAGTAGTAGTAGTAGTAGTAGTAGTAGTAGTAGAAGAAGAAGAAGAGATTGGATTTACACCCCCTGCCCTTCACTTGGGAGTCTCAGAGCGGCTTCCAAACTCTTTTTCCTCCCCCTCCCCACCACAGGCACCCTGTGAGGTAGGCCGGGCTAAGAGAGCTCTGAGAGAAATTTCTCTTTTTTCAAGGACAGCTCTTGTCAGAACTATGGCTTGCCCAAGGTCACCCAACGGCTGCAAGTGGAGGAGTGGGGAGTGGAGAATCAAACCTGGCTCTCCCAGATTAGAGTCTGCGCACTTAACCACCACACCAAATTACTTTCTTCCAGTGTCACCGAAGGGGCAGGGGAAACCCTGCCCACTGCCCTGAGACCTCTGGACAAACAGTGGGACAAAGCGGTCTTAGGGAAGAGGGCAGACAAGCGAGCTAAAGGGAGCCTCCGTGAGCAGAGGCCGTCTCCAGCAGGACCTTCGCTGTCCTACGCGGGAGCTTTTCAGAAGCCCTGGGCCAGAGACTGTGGGGAGGGGCATGCGGGTCTCCGGGCGGTGCACGTGTTCTGGGAACAGGAGGAGGCTGCCAGAGCGAGGCCCAGCAACAGAGCATCACGGAGCCCACGGTGGGGCTGGCAGCGAAAGCTGAAAGAGACACTGCTGTGAGGAGGGGGCTGCCACCCCTCCCCCCTCTCTCTCTCTGCCCTTTCCTCGCAGCCAGGCAGCCAAGGGCTCCCCCAGGGGAGGGGCGGTCCAGAGGGCCCCCTTACCTGCGTCTCGCACGGCAGAGTGATCCACTTCAGGTTCATGTAGGCGTGCAGAAGCTGCAGCTTGGCCTCCAGGGAGAGAGTCACGCTGGAAAGGCAGAAGGGGAGATCAGCCGACCGGGAGCCCCTGCTGGGTGCTTTTCGGCCCTCGAACATGGCCCAGGGCCCCAATCCCCCCACACCACAGATTAACCCTTTGTCCTCAGCTCCTTCCTCACCCCATCCCTCCCCCCGGGCAGGGATCCACCACTTTCTGCTTCCTGCCCCCCC